AAGTAAGCATTTTTAGCTAATTAACCTAAATTGATATACTTAGATAAAATAGTGGTCATTAGTTAGATTTTGTAACTGTCCAAAATTGATGTATTTTGTAAAAGTAACGGTTTTTGTATTTGGAAAGTTTGTATTATTTATTAGGTAAAATTTATTAAATTTTATTTATAAGGTAAAATTAAATGAAAAGCTAGCTATTATATATATATAGATAGGCAACCGTGTAGTTTTAATAAACATATATATTTTTATATTGATATATTGGATTTTAAAAAACATATAAAATGTATGACGTTTCATAATTTAAATCTATCTCCATATATATGCAGAGTTTTTAAGTATATGTGTCAATTTTCGGTGTTTCGTAATTCTATGTGTCAATTTATGTGTCAGTTTCTAGTAGTCAATGCACTTATGCATACCTAGACTTATATTCATACTTCTAAAACTATATAACAACCAACTAATTTATATTACATATATTTCAAAAGATAATAATATGATATATTAAATTAATTTTGTTTTGACGAGTTTCCATTTCACATTCGTATTACATATATAAAATAAATAATTTTATTTATATTTATTATAAAAGTTAAATTATCTATTAAGACTAATGTAAAATTAGTGAAATAATCTATAATATAAGACGGGTAAATTGTACAAGTGAAATTGTCATTTTAAATATAAATTGTAATGAAATATTTGTTAAAAATATTTATAAATATAAATAAAGAAATCTCCTTTACATGTTTTTTTTCTTTAAATTTAAGTATAATTTTTTTTAACTAACATACATACATTCGTATGATCCACCAATATTATACTAGTATATATTTATTTAAAATATATAACAAATAGCTTCAACTTTAGATGTCTCGTGATAAAAATCCCAACTGTTGAAAGATCAAATCCAAGGATAAAATCTATGGTGGGGGAATTATAGAATCCCCACCGATTTGGAAATTGGAAGTGGAAACATACGTATGTTGTTGGATTCCATTAATATAAATATTATATTCTTTAGGCACTTAGTGGGATATCTAATATACCCACATTTGTTGGATTAATTCTCAATCGATCTCTTTCGATCTCTTGTATTAGTATGATGGAATCATGGATTATGTATTTTTTTCCGGTAAAATATATTTTAGTCCCTTAAATTTAAGAAAATTATTTATGTGTGTTTTTGAGTTATTTGAAGAATTTGTAGAAAATAACTACAAACATCTTTTGGACTTTTTCACTTTTATCTAAAAATGGTGGAAAAAAAATTAAATTCTAAGTGATTAATTCAAGACTTTTCAACACCGATGATACCTTTTGAGAGAAGCGGTGCAAGTTAATTCTGTAATATCAATTGTTGGATAAGTAGGACTGTATGAATTAAAGAAATTAATTATATAAAATATATGAACCACTTTAAAATTATCATATTTCTATATAATAGAAGATAATTAAGAAATTAAAATATCATATTTCTATGTATAGAAGATAAATGAGATAATAAAATAATNAAAAAAACATTCGTTAATTACCAACGACATAATAGAATTTACAATAGGCTAGCGTCACCAGAAGATGATGATTCCACTCATGAATTTGTGATTGTGAATTTCTGATCTCATCAATCAAAATTTTATTTTCCCATTAGGATTGCACTAACACTTTGATTGGTCCCATGTTAGGTACCTATATATATTGTCTTTCACATGTATATGATTTATTTAAAACATCATGATTTTAAAATAAATATATAATTTTGTTTACAAAATATGATGAATCAATTTACGTAACAATTAAGGCTACGTTTGTTAAAACTAACTTATGTTAATAATTTATGAATGAATTTCGAACATAACTAATTAATAGTTTAGGACATATAACTGACAAGCTAGCCAATAAGATAGAAGTATTGTAAAATAAAAATAAATTTAATTGTATATGGTATGTTAATGTTGTGACACATCCATATCATTCCATGAAGTTGAATCTGAGAATGCTAATTGCAATTCGTGTCAACCAGCCACGTTAAATTTTGTCCTCATATAATTAATCTATATATTCAGATTCTTAAGAGAATTGATGTTGAGATCATGTCCTTGTTTATGGATAAGACGTGCCAAACTTGGGGAAAGTATCATCAGCAATATCAGCATATGGAATATAAAAGGAGATTAATATATTTGCCTAACTATGCCTCGACTATATCATCTCTTTTTTAGATGTATATACTTTTATATATTTTTTATTCATAGATCTCATTAAAATGTAGTCTATACTTATATAATAAGAATTAACATTTATCCAAAATAGTTGGTCAAATTATGGTCAATGTCGGATTTGCATTAAATATTTTCCAAAACCAGTAAGTTTTTGTCATTTTCACACTTCTCATTAATTATGTCATTTTCACATTTCTCATTAGTTATGTCATTTTCACACTTCTCATTAATTATGTCTTTTTCACACATCTAATTAATTCATTAATTACGACATAATTATCATAAATTATTCCATCTGAGCTTTTATCGTTAAAATGTATAGCGATTTGTTATGACCTTATCCCATTGATATTTACATGAAGCGTCCTTATCGCGTTCTATTTTTTGGTAACCACTCTATATCAATAACCGAATATTTGGTTAATGATAGCACACGTCTTTATTTCAAGGAGCGGATATTTTTTGACCTTTAATTAATCTGAACTTATTGCCTTGACTTTTCAATTTTTAAAAACTCTTTTTTTAAATATTTCGACTTAAGATTCAGATTTCATTATACAAGTCATCGGATTGTTTGAATGAAAATGAATGAAAAGAACACCAAAAACAGGTAGCCTTATTCATATAACCAATCCTAAAATATTAGTTTGTTCACCAAAAATATTAGTTTGATTTTTAGGATTTGTCTCTTTTAAAAATATTAGTTTGTGATAATGAGGAGTTACCAAATAATCAAACTCATAATATTGTGTACAATGAAGTTTTTAACAATATATGATTGTTACCGAACTTTTTATGATTCAACAATATTCCTATGTATTTTAATGATTTCAATTTCGATCCTAATGCACGCACTAGTTAATGATAATTAAAAATAATTAATATTGATTTAACACTACTTAATTATGATATTTGTGAGTGTTAATTGAAGCACAATCAACTACCTGAGACACCCGTGAAATTGTCTGGAATGAGTTTGAATTAGTAAATTGGTAAACATAAATTTTATGGAGCTATCCATGAATTGATATATTTTTATAAGTCTCGAGTGTATTTATTCTAAAATAAGTGTGAATAAACCATTGGTTTTATTTATACGATGCTAATTTGTACATTATTTCTTATGCTTAGCGAAACTCACGTACTGACCCCCAAATAAAGGAGAAAAAGTTTAGCCCTTTTCCAAGAACAAAGGAAAAGGTTAATGAAATGCATGACTGCTCTTTTGTCCCATAGCTACATGGATGAACCAATCAAAACAAAAAAAATGAAAGAAAAGAAAGGAAAACTTTGCTTTATTGATTAAATTGAGCAACTATTAACCAATTGGACCAACCTTTTCGAATTTTATTTAGGATAAAGATTTCAATTTGCAAATTAGACTATTCTTTTCTTATTTTTCATTGACCATCCAAATTTTATTGCTGGTTGTAGTCAATATATATACGTCTGGGCAAAAACAATGCCTCAATGAAGCATGAAAACAAATGAATAAGTGATGACTTAAAAGGAAAATAAATATAGCTGGATTAGCATATTGAAATGGTTGCTCAATAACCTGAAGTTTTAGCTGATTTTACATGCAACAACATTGTTAATTGATTTTGTAGCCAAAAATTGGAGTTAGATGCTTTTAATTATTCATCTGAATCAATGGATGTTCTAAAGGGATACTTTTGACACTGAAATTCATCATATTTTGCTGAAACTTTTGTCTGATATTGATAAATATGGTGAAATTATTTGGGTCTCTTTATGGATGTGTTAGTAAGAAAATCTTACAGAATTTGTTGGTTGAAGTTAGGTCCTTAAAACAGAGGAAAAATCTAACATTATCTGCTATCTTCAAACTATTTCAAAATCTGGTTATTGAGTTTCAATGGTTTTTAAGGCATTGATTTAATGTTACAGAGAAATGCTTATGTTTACAAATGATTTTAGACAAAAAGAGCTCACAGGAAAATATGGAAATTCAAGACTGCAAATTCCTCCAGGTGATGGTGCTTAATTACCTTGCGTTGTACAAAAATGCATACTTGCGCTGTGAAATATATTAGTTTTCTAAAGGTTGACATTTTAGTTTGAATATATGTATGTCTATTGAAAAAGTATAACTTCACGTTATTATAAACGTTACAATTATAGTAGAAATACTTTCTGCATTTTGGTCTGCAAGCTCGATTTTTCAAGAGCACAATTATATATTTAACTTTTTTCTTTTCATTTATGTCCTCACAGCTATTGAAAAAATGACCTTTCTTCTCATCAGTCTCTTGCCTTTTTCACTTTTGCCCATAGGCACTTTAGCTGAGTTTTAGTATCTTCTTCTTCCCTATTCTATTGCTATCAAAATAATTTCTTTTATTGTTTCTTTTTCCTTTTTTTCTACATGCTTTGTGGGAGTATGATACAAAAGATAATCACGCGTACTATTATAAAATTAACAATTTGCCACCTAATTATTGATGTTTCCATTTGTTGAATTGTTTCGTTTTGGAATGAGTCTAAAAGATATGTTACATTTTATGCCTAAATTTTGACATTTCTCCAATTGAATTTTCATTTACTGGTAATTAAACCCATTTTCTTGCAACAACTTCATTAGTTTTCACTGAATTTTCTATGAAAATATGCAATGACCAAAGTACTTTATCTTCAAGGTACAACTGTGAGTACAATACTACAAGCTAGATATAGTTGTACCCTCGCCAGTAGGATCGAACTTCTCACAAAAAACAATTTATGTTAAATAGCAAAAAATGCAACATAACATTTGGAAGATAAATAGTTAAATACAGTTACATAAACTCATCGAACTTGCATCAGCATTTAGGCCCAGCCCATACATACAACTTTAACGAGAGTCAAACACCGAGTCAGCTCATACATTCAACCAAACAAAGATGGTCATTTTACTGGTTTTACATAATATATATACATTCACTACAATTACAGCTATGCAACTAAAATGACAGATCTCCAAGGTTTTTTCATTTACATTCAGGAAAAATCATAGTTGGTTTTTGTTAAAGAGTCAGTCGGCAGTAAACAAACATATCATTTGCAAACCGTTTTCAGCCTTTTGGCAGCCTGCACGAAACCCGTGATGACTTGGAGCTCATCCATTTGCTGCACGAACAAACAAAAGTTCAAATTTCTTCACGATCAAGAAAGGGCACGTTCAAAAGTTAACTTGATTACAAAATTAGTATACCTGCGACACAAAATGCTTTTGGACAACATCGATAAGTTGCTCTTTCGAAGGGTTATGGATTGCATCCACCTAATAGACAGAAAATTATTTTGAAGTATAAAAAGAAAGAAATATTCTGCCAAGTACACGTGAAAGATGAATCATTTTTTGTTGTACGAATCCGAAAAACTCACAAGGTTAAAGTGCCGCAAATATCTCCACAATGCGCCCTTTTCGAGTTTGCTGAGGTCAACCTTCTGGTGCAAGAACTTATCAAGTTCCAGCCTTTTTTTCACTCTAAATACTACAAGACTTGAAAAGAAAA